AACATGTAATGAGTCACCTCATCTGTAATGAGTCTGGCTGCATGAGCTCCAACCACTACCGCTTTAGATTATGATGGCTACGTTCTGATAACACAGAACTACAATTAAAGGAAGTTTTGAACTCTATGTCATGTCTTTACAGTTAGTTAAAAAAAAAACAAATACTTTTTTATCCAAGTATGCAATACTTGAAGATGTTGACTAGTTAGTGATAGTAACATTATAATTCAACACACAATCAGCAGGTTTACTATATACAGCCCTACGTAAGGCCCGGATGCAGCCCTCAACAACCCTTAAATCACCACACATGAGTTATAGTGGAAGTTTTTGTTTATAAGTATGCAACATCATACAAAAACTACTCAGCTCCCTCCGCTTTCATCTGCATTTCTACTGCACTTAATTATGAGTTATATTATTTTATCCAAAGGCTATGCGTTGGATACTAATTCGGCTTCCTCTCAATCAAATTCAGTTCCCCAATATTTAAAGTTTACAAATAAAACCAACATCAACCCACAAGGCTTCAAAAAGGTGTATTTAGCAAAAAACAACAACAACAAAAAACAAAAAAAACCTTTTCTACCCGCATTTTTTTCAACTAAAAGTTTGTTTTTTGTAAATATGTCGAATAATAACAATATCAGAAATAATAATAACAAAAGAATTACTTTGAAAATAGGATTCATAAATTGTTTTATTCATATTAATCTATTTTTTATTTTATTTTTGTTTGTCTGCGAGTGCATTAAATTAAAAACTACCGAGAAGAAAGAGCCATTTTAATTTTATGTCCCAACAGGTTGTCTCAAAATCCTTGTTGTCAATTTTTTAAAAAAAAAACGTTTTCCCCCAAAACACAAACGTTAAAAGACCTCAAGCCACCAGTACAAGAAAAATGCCCACAAAAAGTTATAATTTTGGAAAAGCTAGAGTATTTAGAAAGGCGGTTTGTATATCAAAGTTTCCCCGGCCCCCACCCTGTTTGACAAATACAGGCCAACTTACCTGTCGCCATTAGAGCGGCGAAGATTATCGTCCAGAACATGTTTAATCTTGCTTCCTCGCGGTCTCGGTAGACTTAAGTATTTTTAATTCGTAAAATATACAAACAAAAACGTATTCAGGTACATGTAATTTTCCTCAGACAGATAGTAACACCTCCATTTTGCGTCTTTGTGTGTTGTAGACTTGGGAGGACCCGAACGCCCCGCAGGTGTATGCCGAGAGACAGGTTGCGAAAAACGGGGACGTATGTAAGTCGTTGTTTTACAGGTGGTTGCTGAATTTTTCGGTTGACGGCGCATTAATTTCGCTACAGAACCCTAGTCGTGAGAAATGGCCAAGTTTTTATTTTTTAAAAAAGGCGTTTTCTTTACGTCTTTGCCCATTTTGTGTTCGCTAAAGTGACATTTTAACCAGGAAGTACGCTACGTGTTTTACCCACCGTCTAGATGGTACAGTCTAGAAACTGATAAACGACATGAAGGCGC